TTAGCAAATGCAATTTGGTCATGGAATGTTTTTCATATATTTAAGAACAAATTAAAGTAGAACAAATGTTATCACAAAGTTGTTCTGCAGATGTTGTGAGTTATGCTTCTCAGCTTACAGTGTCAGTGACTTAGTTTTTACCTTTTTTCTTCTAACTTGCTCTTCTGTCCCGTTTGTCCTTTAGATTGTGTATTTGACCAAATACTCAACTCCACAGAGGAAGATCTCAAAGAGGCAAGGGAGATTCTAACAAAGATCGTCGAACGTAAACACTACAGATGTCTGGGTGAAATCAAGCCTAAAACAATCCCAAACAAGGTGTGCAGTAATGTATTTGTTCCTGTATTACATCACATATTTGTAATCAATTATCTCAAGGGATCACACAGCAGGAAAAAAGATGAGTCATCTCTTCATCAAAAGAGATTAAGGCAGGAGGGGGCAAAAGCGTAACCTTAATTTGTTTTAAATAACAGTTATTTTCTTAATGTATTTAAAAAATTTAACTCAGGAAAGCTTAATTAATTTATGTTTCATGACACAACTCTCATTACATCCTATCTCAGTTTGAGCAGACACGCCTTCGGTTACCACTAATTATTTTACTTCAAATGTATGTTACCTTATTTCTTTACATACAAATATCAGAAGTTGAGTAACGCTTTTTGCTTGGCAAACTTTGCTGATTGAGAATTACACTCCATATTTTTGTCTCATTTGCAAAGGTTTCTAATCTAATCTAATCTAATCTAATCTAAGTTTAGCAAAATCGGTTCAGTCCCCTTTTGAATTTGTCCCTGATTATTACAAAAGTAAAGTTTGTTAAAACAGAGCTGAATGTGATGCGACTATTGTGGTTGAAGAACACATTGCTTGTTTCTCTTGTCTCTCTATCACTTTACATTGCCTCTTTTCATATTGCACCTGGCTTTTAAGCAGACTATCCTAGAATTGTTGTTTAGAGAAACTATGCCATATGAGCAAGAAAGATCATAGGATGAGGATCACATATCACTTAGACTACATCCACAGTAAACCACTGCGTAAAAAAAGCCTTGCGTTCACAGTAACTATTCCGGGTGGTTTTTATAGAGTCCTACGTCAGCAGGGAACAATAAAAGAGATGGCATCATTTTATCTGGAAATGAACAAATCTGCGCTTCAAAGCCAACATCTGGTGAGGTTTGAGTCAGGTGCCTGACTAATAATTATGTCAACAGTATGACATATCAATGATAAAATGATTAACTTATCAATGTGTGGGGTGTGACAAAACAATCTTTAATACTGATTAAAAACAATTGCTGTGTGATATGACCTGCTAAACTGACATTTAAAATGAGAGATTACACAGAAATTATGAAGCAATATAAACGTTTAATAAACAGCCACACTGACCCCTGACAGCAACTGGGCATCCTTACATTATCCTTTTGCAAACACTCTATGTTTCCAATAGAGTGTAAAAGGTTTGCATCAAGAATACATTCTAATACATTGTTTTTAAAAGGCCTGTTGTCGGGTGAGAGCAAATCTTTAGTTTGAGTTTGGATTGACAGCCAAAACCGAGAAACAAAGATGTTTGATTTGTATTTACCTGCTTAATGTGGACCTCCTCTTACTGTGTGTTATCACGATGGAAAGAACTGCAAATGTAAATGTAATCTCTCACTTCTCAACCTTTGTCCTTCGTATTTAAGGATGAGATATCTCAGGTGACAAAGAATCTGGCTGCAGCTCTCCCATTCCCACGACAGGAAGCTCAGGCTGACGGGCTGACACAGGAGGACTTTGTCGTTTTGGTAAGTTTTTCGTGTACTGACTTTTGCTTCGCTAATCTTAAAATTGTTTTGTTTTTTAGATACTGCCATCTCCATTCATTTCATTTCAAACCTTTATTTATCCAGATTGGTCCCATTGAGATCATAGATCTATTTTTGAAGGGAGACCTGCAGTAATTAGGTTCCACATGAAACATAAAACAACATAAAACAATAGAGGATATCATACAACATATTTACAAGCTACATTTACATAGTTATCGACATTTACAAATACCCATAGTTTCAAAGAGCATTTCACTTTAGACTTGCTTTAAAAACATTCAGAGGAATAATATTGCTCAGTTTCAATTTTAGCTGTAGACTGTTCCAAGCAAGTGACGCTGCGCAAATAAAAGCTGTCTTACCTAAGGCAGTCCTTGCTCTTGGCACATCTAACAAATCTACATCATGCGATCTCAGATCTCAGACATGCGATGTAAGTGCTTTACAATTTGTGACAAATCTCAGTGCACTGTGATAGGCGGCATCTAACTTGTTCAGGCAATGGGCAGGTGCATTCATATACAACAAATCACCATAGTCCAGCACAGGTAAAAAGGTCACAGTGACTAGCCTTTTCCTGGCCTCAAGCGATAAACAGGACTTGTTTCTGAAAAAGAAACCTAGTCTAACCCTCAGCTTTTTAAGCAGGTTATTGACCTGAAGTTTAAAAGTGAGAAAATCATCAAACCAAGACAATCATCAAGCCAGACAATCATCAAGCCGTTGATTTACTTTTGAATTAAGAAAAGGCTTCTGTCTCACCCTTCTCTTCTAGTCTGCTACTATGGACTATGGGAGTGGGGCGGAGGACCCCATCAATAGTATGGACTTCTACAGCAAGAAAAAACCTAACCAAACATTCAAAATCAAGAGAGAACAGGTCAGAACAATGACGACAAAAATCTCAATCTTAATCTTTTTTTGTGTGAGCTCTTGTGTATTTCTCTTTAGGGAAACCTCAGTTATGTAATTTTTTATTATATTTATGCTGCTATCATTCTTGTCAGGTGTCCAAGCTTCTCCCAGAGAAGTTCTCTGAGACGCTCTTCAGGGTTTACAGCAAAAAAATTGATCCTGAAAGTCTGGAAGCTGCCAGGGGACACTTTGCCGAGTTGAAATCAGGTAATATGTATATCTAAGATATTAAAAATAGAATGTATTGAACTGCCTATAGCCGAGTAGTTAGTTGTCAAATCTAAGTAAAATGTCCTGAGCAGCAAATCTTAGTTTGCTTCCTAGTTGGCTGGACCACTTGGGGGGTAAGAAAAACCCTCTAGTTTGATTTGAAAGTCTGGAATAGGAGATGGCCCGCCTACTGCAAGTCATTCCCATACTCTCTTTACAAACATATCTGTCTCCACTACAACTGTCAAATAAATAATTGTTTTTAAATAGGGCAGGAAGGTTTTATTAAATGGCAGTGATATTATATCATAGTAGTACAGTATAAAATATGAACAGTATGAGTTTTAGTATATGGACATGAGCAGGTAAGGAGGAATAATTACTTTCGTTACATCTCGTCAGATCTCAAGGATAAAATTGCAGTTCAATTGCACATTGATCTTAGCTCTGGAGTTAAAACCATCTATGCCTGCTACTTAATGATTATTTGAATCATTGATTAAGTAGCGATTACTTCCTCAATTAGTTTACTATTATAATTTAAGAAAATGGGGGGAAATGTCTGTAATATGTAGTAAAGACAAAGGTTACGTCTTTAAGTAAAGTGAGAAGTGAGGAGCTGGATCTATTTTTCTGTCGAGCTACTAATAATGTAGCTCCACTGTAGACTAGCACCATGCTTCAGTAAAGATAGTTGCAGCTCTGCTCTTGGTAATGCTGATACACTTGTCTTTCTTTATTTACATGCAGTGTGGAGCGACTGACCCGTCACAGTATCTTGATGAATCGGAAGTTTGGGAAAATGGAAGTTAAACCTGAAAAAATAAAGAAAACACTTCCTGGCACTCCTTGGTTCATACTGATTGAAGGTGATCGAGAAATTTGATCAAATGAGTGATTTAACAACTTAAAAGTGAATTAGGATGCATTATGCACAATTGGGCCATATATGCAGTTTTTAGAGCCCTGTTTAATATTATACACTAATCTAAGTGCAAATGTGATCATTTTAAATCAGCTTTAATTAAGAATCACTGTTTAATACCATATTATGGCTAATTGAAATGTAATGTTAGGTGTGATTTAGGGATTTTAAATATTTAGTGGTGTTTGTTTAAGATATCCATTTTGTGAATTAATGTGGTAACCTGATTAGATATTATTTTTAATTTATTCATGTTTGATTAAAGATTGTTTTGGGTGTATGTCTTTGATTTTAATCTATCAATATGAAATCAATATCATTACTATTACCATTATATATTACTATTCATACTGTAGTTATACAATATAGCTTGCTTCCTTCAATGTAACCATCTGTATGAATGTGGTTAACTTAGGGTATATTTCTGTTTATGGTCATGGTGTGAAAATGTTGTAATTTGTCATCATGGGACTTTTGAGGAAAACCTACAACATTGTTTTTAACTTTGTTGCTGTTGAGATTGGGTTAATAAAAAAGTGTTTCTTCTTAATTTGAAATCAATTACATGTTGTGTTTATTGTGTGTCATTGTGCCATTTTACTGATCCAACATAATAATTCAGCAGAGATTTGAATTCAGTTAGATATAGTGTTGCTTATTCAATTCTTCAACAATTATCACTAGGACAGATTCTTTTTTTTGCACAACCCTGAGGTAATTCATCTAAGGGAATATTTGAAGAAGCGTATCTCACACAGTCACACACTTCAATATCCATTTAATACCAAAGGTGTACTGATACATAACTCACTCTATTAGAGCTGCAACTATTACCAAAGTGCAGGTAGCATTTATAATTTCCCTGAAGCCC